CTTGAAGGAACAGGATATTTCTAGAAAACAGGTGGCGTGATACTAGTCACGTGACCTCGCTGACGCAATAGTATGAAAAAAAGTGTTCCTCTATTGAATAGCCTGTCGACGAATTACATATTAATATTAAATCTCGTCAACCCTATTGGGTTTGTTGTCTTTAATCTATTGATAGCTGAAGTGTTTTGTAGGAAAAACAGACAACACAAGGTTTTTTTAAACAACATTTTTAATACAAACAGTAATTGGAAATATATATTAAGTTCAGATAACGCTTGCTACAGTTTTTACAAAATATTCTGAATACGTTAAAAGATAATCACGCCATCTACTTTATATTTATAAAGGTAAAACTAAATAAAACCTTGAAAACTAATTGACTTTGGATACTGACAAAGCGTAGTCCCCAAAAAAATAATATAAAAACACAAAGCATCATTTATCTAACTAAATTATATTAATCTCTTATTATTCACGAAAAAACATGAAAAAAAATTCATATCGCAATCAATTTTTGGAATAACAGTAACATAAGGTACGGAAAAAATTACGAATTAGGCGTATATACCGAAACGATAAATACTCGTCAGAAATTAATAAAAGTGCGAGAGTCAATATCAAAACGTTCCACACAGCAAAAAAATGTTCAGCCTCTCAATATTTATAATTACAATGACAGGAAAAAAATTATCCTTCTTCAAATAGCAAGATTTTTAGAAGAAATGTAATGAAAATAATAATTAGTTTCAATTTTAGTCTTAACAAAAACTGGCCTTAGTGTGCGTATGCTTTAATAACTGTAGATCTATATATTTGTGTATTTTCGAGCATCTGTAACTCTCTATGTTTCTGTATTTTTGAGTAGCTGTATATATCTATTTCTGTATTTTTGAGTGTTTGTAGTTCTCTATATTTGCGCACGTTTGAGTATACGTAGATATCTAAGTGTGCTTATGGTTAAGTATATGTTGAACGATATTTATAATCTCGTCATTAAGTAACAACTAAAACTTCTGGGTTTCATACACCGCCGCAGACAGAACGAAGATAACCCTAAATGTAGCTTTTCGCTAAAAAGACACCACACACACAGAAGTAAGAACTAAACATGTCAGGTGTATGGATTTTAGCGCCCTTGTGAGAAGTTTGGAGGATAGCTTAACAACCAACTATTAACACACACACATACACACGAATTATCTTTTGTTTAAAGTATGTTTACTAATAGTCATTTGAGAGTATCAAACCAAAGTAACGGCCGCTTCTGGTTGGATATAGTTTTACAAAACATAGGCATATATAGTTCTACAAAGCACAGACGACCAAACAGATACTTAAGTCGACACCATAAGACAGATGTTATATATATATATAAGAACTACCCGATAAACGTGTAAACTGATACCATGTTATACATAATAGCTAGTTGTTGATCATCATGTAACCTTATACCGTGCTATAGGTAAGTCCAGGGCAAACATACAAAACAATCAACAACAGAGTTCTTTCCATTTTCTTAAAAGTAATAAATACAGAACCTTCTGATATTTTTCAACTTTATTTTTAGGATGCAATTATTGCTGAACGACAGATATCTTCGCCACTTCTGAACAAATTAAAATTCAAAACACAAGTTGGGGAGTTGCCAAACAAGAAAAATCGGCCAGCATAAACTCGGGATTTTTTCATCTTTAAAAATAAGCAAAACAGTTAAACTAACAAACGAAAATCGCCCATTTAAACTAGAATTTCACACTTAAAATCAAAACCATTTTTTTTCTGTTAGAATATGACTATAAAATTAGGATATATAATGTACAAAATAAAGATTTTCGTCCATTTTCTGGCTCCCTGATAAATCTCCAAATGACAAAGTTCAGACGTCACTACAAACAAAAACCATACCATAGCTAGCTACTAAAAAAATACTCTATGTTAAAAGTTTGAGCAGGAAACAAATTGTTCTCCATATTTAAAACAAGAAATCTCCACGAGGACCGTGTTTAGAAAACTGTAATGATGACAATTCACTTGGGAATCATGTTAATAGTGGAGTAGTGTTGTTCTTAACGTTTCTAACAAATAATCCACTTGGGAATCATGTTAATAGTGGAGTAGTGTTGTTCTTAACGTTTCTAACAAATAATCCACTTGGGAATCATGTTAATAGTGGAGTAGTGTTGTTCTTAACGTTTCTAACAAATAATCCACTTGTGAATCATGTTAATAGTAGTGTTGTTCTTAACGTTTCGAACAAATAATCCACATGTGAATCATGTTAATAGTAGTGTTGTTCTTAACGTTTCGAACAAATAATCCACATGTGAATCATGTTAATAGTAGTGTTGTTCTTAACGTTTAGAACAAATAATCCACATGGGAATCATGTTAATAGTGGAGTAGTGTTGTTCTTAACGTTTCTAACAAATAATCCCCATGTTAAAGCCCTAATGTGATCCTGAACGTTTTGAGCAAGCTACCTTCTCGGGAACCATGCTAATTCTCTAGAGTAATGTTGTACTGAGCGTCTTCAACATAATACCCCTGGGGACCGTGTTTAGAGAAGTGTAGTTATGTACGTTTCGAACAACGAACTAATCAGATCTATGGTAGTTTAAGTCAGGAAATAACGTCAACATTTCAAAAATTTACCTGCTTGGAAATCAATAAATTTTTACAGAGGTGTATCTCTAAATATCTCAAACAGAAACGATTTTCGTTCGTGCTTTGATAATCCAAGATACAAAGCGACACCTATATTTCAAACAAATGACCCTCATTGAAAATTTCGTCAACTTTCTAGCCAAGTGAAAAAAATCCCACATTTTCTTTGGCTTAGAAGTGTTTATATTTCGCGTGGTTCCCTGCTTTGTTTTGAATTTTCTTTTTATATCAAATAAATAAATAAATATATATTTCTTTGCCAAAGTATTTTATCCGTCACTATATCAGAGAATGCTTCTTTAAACTGGTGCAGAAAAAAAATTGTTTTTCTCTCAAGGCACAATTTGTTGATAAAAGTCAGGTTCGACTTCCTGCTTTTCTTGTTCTGCGTCTTCTCCGTCCAACTGAAACCAAAACCAAATAATCAAACAACCGAATCACCTTTTACCAACACACGTGTAATCCTAAATCTTTATACATATTCTCTTGTCTTTACTTAATTGTTTGTAGAATGTTCCATCCCATTAAGTCCCTAATTTCTACTAACATGGAGAACGAGATGTTCTTGCTGGTATGAATATCCAAGAAAAACTTTAATAGTTTATCTTTCAATTGAGTTAACTTTAGATCTGAAGATCTGAACTATTTAGAAAACAAGCTACGAAGCTAGCCCCCCTATTGAATTTTAATATTTAAAAACAAAAAATAGGCTAGGCTCCAATTAAGACAATTATATTTTCATAGCGGAGTGATTTGTTTATGGAATTGTTGTTGATACTAGCAAAGATGGCGTTTTTTTCGGAGTCTGAAAGAGAAATCGGTGATCTGGAAAATAAAGTGTGGATTTAAATGCTTACTTCTATCGAAGGTAGGTGTGTAGCGACAGCCTTGAAAGACCAAGTGGCCGTTTGATGTCGCTATCATATTGTATAACCAATTGTATGTCGGTTCTTAGAAGACATCAACTCTGGGGTTATGTACTCGACACTTCTTATTTGTCCGTTTGTTTGTCTGTTTCGGATATTCGCGGAAACTCTAAATGCCCTACTGGCGCTAACTGTCCCTACTTTTGTGCTGATGAACTGGGACAACCAGACAGCAGCACTCACCGCTAACCTTTCAGCTGCTCTAATCGAATAGTGGAATTTGACAGTCACTCTTATAACGTGATCACGACTTCAAAAAGCAGAGAGCTTTATTTTTCTGTAACGGGACTCGAACAATGGATTCACAGTCCGGTACGCTAACCACTGGGCTAAATCAGGTCCACTCTTATTCTAAATGGTTGTTTTCTTGTTAAGTACAATGCTGCACAATGGGCTATCCATGTTGCTGTTATCACAGGAATAAAACTTCGAATTTTAGCGTAAAAGGCCCTCAAGTTTACCACTGAGCCAATAGGAGGCAAGATCTAACTCTAAAGGCAAATTTACTCTAGAACAAGCTTCCAAGTGACGGTACATACCAGCGTTTAATGTTCAAAGTCGTGTACTACATTTTAAAAATGTTATCCTATAAAACCACACTTCAACATTCGTTTTTAAATATTTTTTGGCACGTGCGTAATGTTCAATGTTAAAAAACTCACTATTTAAAAAAATATATTATTTTACACACAATTCTATAAAATTAAGATTGTTTCCACTCTCCAAATTACTAAAATACAATAACTTACTGTACAAAGATAAAAAGCCAGATGAGACTGGAAAAAATATCATACACTCTACATAAGTGTTATTTTTGCAAAACATTACACTCCTCAGGATGACGCAGTAATATACATTGAAACATTGTAAAGTTATTGTATTTTAGTAATATGAAGACTGGAAAGAATATCGTACACGCTACATTCTGATTTTGAGTTTTTAAGATTGAACATTACACACGTACCAAAAAATGTTTAAAAAATAAATAAATGCCGCGTATATATATCGTATAATTTCTTTCATTCGATGATCAGTCAAACGTTTGACGCCCTCTATTATAAAAATTCAAATGCCTTTTTTATTATTACATGTTAAGACGGAGCTTGTGATCAGATTTGATTAGCCAGACTTGACTTGCCGGGGTCGTTGTCCTCTTGTCAGTTTGTAAAACAAACACCACACAAGTTCTGGTGAATCGGCAGCGTATAACATTTCTGTAGTTGATTTTTTGTTTTTATTTTTCACAACACATTACCTATGTTGAGATTCTTCAAAATAAATTCAGTTTTATCATTATACTCAGAATGGATCAAACTCGAAATTTATAGGTATAATGAAAACCGTGTGGTATTAAAAGATTTGGAACAATCGAATCCTCCTCCTCTCAAACTCGTCCGGATCCTCAGAATTTTCTCTATAGAACGGTCCCCCTCCAGTGGCACAGCAGTATGTCTGCGGACTTACAACGCTAGAATCCGGGTTTCGATACCCGTGGTGGGCAGAGCACAGATAGACCATTGTGTAGCTTTGTGCTTAATTACAAACAAACAAACAAAACTATAGAACAGATGACACTGAAATCAAATTAAAAAAAACCTCACAAATAGCTGGGTGGTAGGTGTTTAACGAGTTTAACTTAATAGTCACCAGGTGGTTTTGGTTTGTTCAAATTAAACTCAAATACGATTTACCATTTACACATTTACTTACATTTGCACAAGGAACAACTTTCGATAGGGAAGGAGTTTGAAATGTTCATGAAGTTTACGTATTTTGTTAAACGATTAACATGCGATACAACCAGGAATCTTTAAGAAAAATTACAAATGGGTCAGATTTAGGTTTGTCTATTTAACAGCTTTTGTGCATAATTTAACAATTTGATAGTCTTATTGTTTTTTATTATTTATATGCTGAACAGGCGTGTTTATCAATATATTTATTACAGAGTTAGACACAAGTTAATATTATTTCCTGAACTACTTATTTTATATTTATCAAGAGAGGTCTG